GGGGCAGATAAAACCACAGCAACACAAGAAAGGAAGCCTGAGCAAAAATTCCGCTGCTTCCAAGAAACAATGTCGATGTTTGTGCTTTCAAGGCAGCTCACTGCAGACAGGTGTGACACGCTGAGAACAGGCTCCTCTATCATCACCGTGACCGGCACAGGCCACCAGCCTCGCTGGGAGCAGCTGTTTTTAGCAGCTTTCCTGTGGCTACAGTCTCATAAAGGACCCAGTGTTGGGACCAGGGCGGCACCCCAGGGTCCAGACAGGCCTCAGACTTCACTGGCAGGGCAGCCCTGCCTCTGTCTCTGCAGCTACCCCACCAGGAATAAATGAACCAATTCTGCTAACTCCTGAAACGGCAGACTCTTCCCGGGTCTGAGACGTAGGAAAAATGAGGCTGGCTACTCCCACCAGGATCTGTGGAGTCAGAAGAGTCTCCTGGTGTTGGATGGAGGCTGCCAGGACTCGTGATGGCACGGTCTGCCATGCAGCAGCGTGAGGACAAGCCCAGTGCTGCTGGACAGGGAGGCCTGTCGGAATCAAGTCGGTTCCCACCCAGAGTCCCTGTGCACAACCGAAGGAACGCTGCCTGGTCCTGTGCCTGAGCTCACTGTTGCAGCCACTGTGCCCATCCATCTCATCAAGGGCCTTAAGGTTCAGGAGGCAGAAGTCCTAGTTTGGGCCACGGCCCTTCCCGCCACCAAGCAGAGCCATCCAGACCCATGCAGGGGCTTGCACGATCCAACCCTCCCCACTCGCTAGAAGGGCATCCATGCATTTTAAGAATGGTGGCCTGAAAACCCCTTGGGCGATTCTTTTAAAATTCTGCCTCTCTCCTAAGTGGTCACTCTCGGAGAAAGAGGAGGCTGGCTGTCCTACAACGACTCCCGTCCCTGTGGCTCTACACCAGGCAGCTGAGTCGGAATCAACCCCTGGCAGTGCGTTGCATTGCGTTGCCTTGCTGGGCAGGCGTTCGGCAGCAGCCGAGCTCGGGACTTCCTCCTGACAGACACTGGTGATAGTCACCAAGAGCCACGTGCTCCCCTGAGCAGGTAGGAGGGCAGGGCTGTGCCCTCACTGGGAGGACAGGCCCTCCACAAGCCCCCTCCAGAAGGACGGCTGCTGTCCTGGCTAAAGGCCCAGCTCAGGGAGGTCCCGGGTAGAAGGTGCTCACAAAAAGCAGCCACCACCATCACTGTCATTACGTGGTGGCTAGCCACCCCAGGTCCCGGTGGGCAGCTCAGCCAGTAGCAAGAACAGCCATCAGCTAGCCTCAGACTGAGCACCAGGCCAGGCACGCAGAGGAGCCCAGACCGCCAAGGTCAAGTCTTGACTGGGTCACCTGACTCAACTGTGAGGGCCCAGACTAGAGCCCAGGCTTTGAGGTGGACTGGCCATCAACAGAGAACCTGAGGAGGCAGCCAATCCTCATAGGTGACAAAGCCTCACACCTGCCTAGACCTGGACAGTCCTCTCACGGCCTCAAGCATTTGGACATAAGGAGGCTGTTTACAGGCCGCCGGCCCGCCAGCCCTGGCTGGCAAGCAGCTCTAACTCAGCACTGCCTCTGAGCACCTCCTCTCCAAGCGCTGCCTCTGGGTGCGTGCCATGGCCAGTGTGGGCACACACATCCCCCTCAGCCACTGCATCCACCTGCAGGCCACCTGACATGACTCTTGGGGGAACGCAGAATTGAGAAAGTCAAGTCAGAGTTCACCAAAGTATAACCTGCAGTAGTCTAGGTTCTCAGACATCTCCCAGAGTCACCCAGCCCTATACTTCCCCTGAGGGTAATCTGAGACTGAATGGGAACCCAAAGAAAAATCAGCAGGGGATGTACCAAGAGAGCCAAGAGGGGCGGCTGTCCTCCCAGCAGATGTCTTCACTTGCCAGGAGCACACCCAACAGAAATGCCCATGAAGCACACGCCCTGTTAACGCTGCACAACTGTTAGCACTGCGGCAAAACTCCACAGAGCCCGTCGGAGGTGAGCGCACGCTAAACCACCAGCTTCGGGCAGACCCCAGGGATCAGACATGGCAGCCAGTCTGACAAGGTGGGCAGAGCTGGGGGAGGACAGAGGGTCAGAGCTGGTCCTCCCCAAGCCAGATCCACAGCTTGGTGAGCCAGTGTCCGGTACCCCGAGTTAGGCTTCCCACTAATACAGAACACAGGCAAGCCTCGGAGTTCTCCCATATCTTCGGCCACCCAAAGGGCACCTCAGGAGAGGTAAGCTACGACTCATAGAACGAGGAAGGAGGCTGCCCCTGAGGCCTGAGAGGTGGCAGGAGGGCAACCCTCAGACGTTTGGAGACTAAAAAGCCACAAGCACCCCAGACATGCAGAACTGCCTCTGCAGCAGCTGTGTCCCCCCACCACAGCGGCTCCTCCTCAGCGCCATCAGCATCCCTGAATGTTGTCCCAGCAACTTGGCCCTAGCAGCTCAGCGGTTGCCACAGCAACCACATCCCCGCACAAGTGTCCCCACACAAGGGAGGCAAGGGCCGCCTCCAAACGCTGTGACCTCATCAGCATCACCTGGTGATCCCTCCACCCAAAGCAGCCACCAAGACTCAGTCCCCTAAGGAATCCCATGATCTTCAAGACGCCTGCAGGCTCCCTGGTGCCAGGCTAAGCCCCCTCCCTTAAAGCCCACACCCTCACTTCCAATCTCCCCCACCGCACGTGCTGGGCCCACCTCCCCCACTTCCTCTGCTCCATCTAGACCAGGCAGTTCAAGTCGCTGTGTGAGGCCCACAGTGCAATATGGAAATCGCTTAGAAAAATACTCTACAGCCCACCAGCACACACCAGTCAACCACCCCCCACCCACCTAAAGATTTCGTGTCAGAAACCCTAAGGGGAAATTCCCTCCTGTCCTTCGGGCTCCCAT